GCCATCTGGGGATGCGGGCAGGCGTGGGTGAGCCTGGGGGTGTCCCTCCATCCGCCGCCCCCCAGAGGAGGGAACGTGTGGGATCGCTCCCAGCAGATGGAGGGCCGTGACCTTGAAAGGCTAGGAGGCTTCTGAGGAGGGGCTCAGGGTGACTACCAGGGAGGAGCTGTTCCTGGAGCGCCCCCCTGCAGGCCTGCACCCACGCTCCGCCAGAACCCCAATAAGCCCTATAGGGCAGCACCGCTCAGGGGGAGGCTGCGCCCCCATTAATCATTCACGCGGGGCGCACGTGCAGCCGCCATCCAGCCGGGATGCAGGACGTGCATCCGCAGTGCCGGTTCTCCTGGGCAGGGACAAGGCAGCTGCGTCACGTGACGGGGAGGAGGCGTGTCCATGCTCACGTGCACCCCGCCGGACACACACTAACCAGTGCATGAGGAGAGTGCACAGGTGAGGGTGCCAAGGCGATGGGGCCCTGGGCGGCCGCTCACACTTGTCCACACAGAGACTTCCATGTCCAAATGTGCACAGACAGCGTGCCCTGCAGCCGTGCGCACGGCCGCGACCCAGTACGCAATCCCGGCACGTCTGCACACGGTCCCTCCTGCACACACACGCAGACCACGCATCTCCGCACACAGGTAGCATGCAAACACCTGGTCCAGGTGCCCCGGGTGTCACAAGACTGTTCCCTGGCGCACACTCCAGGGTACACGAGCCCCGCGGCACAGGCGGGCGCGCACACGCGTGTGCACACCACGCGCACGCGCACGCACTCAGCCTCCCGTGCGCACAGCTTCCCGCAAGGCACCCGCCTCCCCTCCCCCTCCGCCGCAGAGCCGGGGGTGGGGAGAGAGATGGGGGTGAGGGCTGGGCAGGCCGGGGGAGCCCGCACAGGCCTCCCCTTCCCAGGCCCGCAACCGCTGCATCCTTCCCCGCATTCCAGCGCACCCTACTCGCCCCTACCCCGACAGCCCATCAGTCAAATGAAGGTTATGCGGGAGCTCGGCGCAGAGCACACCTGGACACCCGGGAGCTCACCTTGGCCTTCAAGAAACCGGCGGCGACCCTCGAGCGGCGACTTCTTGGGCGGCGCGGGGCCGGGGCCGCGGGGGCGCTGATGCGGGGCTGCGCGGCGGCGGCTGGGGCCCCTGCAGTCCGCGGTGACGTCCTGCAAAGAGCGGGGCGGGGCCTCGCATGCAGATACGGCGTGACGCCATCGTGGGGCGGGGCATCACGCCGGAAGGCGGGCCGCTAGCTCGTGCGCAACCTATAGGGCGCGGTTTCTGCACAGACAGAGGAGTGAGGGTCCAGTAACAAACGGAGGCGGTGCGGGTGGGCGTGGCCACCTGCCGGGTCCCGCCCCTGGTCTGCGTGCGGGAGGTGGGGCTTCTCGCCCCTTTAACGGGCTTAAGAGCTCTGAGCGACGGGGTGAGAAGCCAACCAGCAGCTGTCCCCGCCCTCCTTCTGACCAATGGCAGCTCACGAAAGGAGCAGAAAGGCTGATGGCTGGGTTGAGTCCTAGGTTTCAGGAGGCGTCGCCTTTCCTGTCCCTGACCCTCCTAGTGGGGACTTCTGCTATCGCCACCCCACCCGGGGTGCAGTGACCTCTTCTCCAACACCCTCTACTCTTCGGCAAAGAGAAACAGAGCTCCGTGTCCCCCTCTTTCTGGGGTTCAAGGAGGAGGCCAAAGACCCCCGCCTCATATCTCCCCAATCAGAGGGTCGGGCTGAGGGAGGAACCTTCCCGCCCAGAACTGAGACGAAAGGGAAGAATCCGGGGAAAGGGAGTGAGGGCCGGGGGACCGGAGCGATCCCGGCGCCCCACGGGGTCCCCCGAGCCCCGACACCAGTGATCCCCGAGCGCAGAGCCAGGACTCAGCCCTGAGCACCGCCGGGTGTGGCCCTAAAACTAAAAAGAGAAAAAGCGAGGGGCAGACAGTCGCGCTGAAAGCCTCTCCCTTCTTGCGCCCCATTTTCCAGGGAACAAAATGCCCAAAACACGGCGGAGGCAGGTCAGGAAAAAAATAAAATAAAATAAAGGCCTGTCCCCTCAGCACCGCGAAAGGGAGAGCCGACAGGGCTTCAGAGAACCCACAGTTTGGTCCCAGCATCCGGAGATGCTCCCCTCAAGAAGCGGCGGAGGCTGGATGATGGGACGCAGTGATGCATGGTTTGTCACACACGCCCCCACCTAGTCTTAAGGGTGCGAAACAGCCAGTGCTGGGGGAGAGAGGGGAGAACCGGGTATTTATTTTGAGTCCCTGGCCCGCAACTCTGGCGCCCCCAGAGACTCTGGTTCCCACTTGTCCGTTCCTCCCCAGGAGGTAGGGAAAGGGGGGAGGGTGGGCTCGTCCTGTTTATAAAAAGCTCGCCAGCTGCAGAGGCGACCAGAATAACTTCGCGCCTCCAGGCCGCTCCCCGCCCCCAGGCACCATGGAAGCAAATGTGTCTCTCTCTCCCCCTCTGCCCCCTACCCCTTCTCTCCCCCTCTTTTTCCTTCTCTCCCCTCTCTCCCCTTCTCTCACTCTCCCCCCCCCCCCAATCTCTGTCTGTCTGCGTCTCTCTTGTGTTTGTCCTTCTCTACCTCTCTCAGACAAAAGAAGTATCACAAACCCAGTACGGAGAACAGAGAGAGCTCAAACCATTTACAAAGAAAGAAAAACAGGGGGCTGGAGCGATAGCACAGCGGGTAGGGGGTTTGCCTTGCACGCGGCTGACCCGGGTTCGATTCCCAGCATCCCATAGGGTCCCCCGAGCACCACCAGGAGTAATTCCTGAGTGCAGAACCAGGAGTAACCCTGTGCATCACCGGGTGTGGCCCAAAAAGTTAAAAAATAAAAAAATAAAATAAAAATACCTTGCATGCGGGCTGGAGCGAAAGCACAGCAGTAGGGCGTTTGCCTTGCGTGCAGCCAGCCCAGCCAAGCCGGGTTCGATTCCTCTGCCCCTCTCGGAAAGCCTGGCAAGCTATTGAGAGTATCTCGCCCGCACGGCAAAGCCTGGCAAGCTACCCGTGACGTATTTAATATGCCAAACACAGTAACAACAAGTCTCAAAATGGAGACGTTTCTGGGCCCGCTCGAACAAATCGATGAACAACGGGAGGACAGTGACAGTGACAGTGACCTTGCATGCATCTCTGTCCCCAGCGCTCCACCCAGAAACTCCAGGGCAGCCTCAGAAATCCCTATTGGTCCCTCCCCACAGCAAGAACAAGTCCAGGAGGAGAAGCGGCAGCTTCTTCAGGGATCTTTGTGTGATATAAAGCAATGGGGGGCTTTATTGTCAAGAATTAGCAGAAGTGGGGGGGCTAGGTGAGAGGGAAGTGGGCGCCTCATGTGCCACTCCCGTTCTGTCTCCAAAGTCCCAGGTCATGGTCCTGCTGTCCACTCTCCATCGCCCCCAGCCTAACCCTTGCAAACTAAAATGTAAAATGGTTATATATTTTTACATCAGCATTTAGCATCAAAGATTTGCAGGGGCCCCCATACAGCAGGAGAAAGGGAAGGGAGTCACAGGACACCTCCATCTTTCTTGGCCAAATGTTCCTTGCACTGATGGCGGGAGATACCTGCCCCAGGACCTTTGCACCTGCCACCTGCTGCTTTGGGCCGAACTTAGCATCCTCCGCCACCTGGCGTCTCTGCCATCTCCTGCAGAGGTCCTCTCCTGCCCCTCACCTCCTATCTCCTCACCACAGCTCTTCTTGCTGACCAGCCCCCAGTCGATAGGTCAGGCTCATCAGAGACATCGTGGTGTGAGGGACTGGGAAGAACAGCAGGTCCAGGAAGGGAACTGGACTGGGGCCTCAGACAGGTCTGGTGGAGGGCATGGGGCAAGATGGGTGTACCTGGCTTCTTGGTGGGTGCAGTCAGGGAGGACTTCCTGGGGCTGGGGGCACTGGACTGAGTCTCGGAGAGGGAGGGAGCGTCTGTGGAAAGGCACTAAGGGGACCTTCTTGGGGTACAGAGGGCAATTAGCATGGAAAGAAGACAACAGGTAGGGGAGAAGGAGGACGCACAGGGCCAATCCAAAGGGACAGTCGGGGTACAGAGGAAGGGCAGTGCCCTAGGGAGAGACTCCGAGTGCAACAGGCAGAACTTTATTACAATCCGCGCCAGTGCTCGCTTCTCACTGGGAAGCCCCTTTCCTGGAGAGAAAAACGGAAACCCCCCAAATCTTTGTAACATTTGAATGTCAAAATGTAAATAAATCTTTTTCATGTTAACATTTCGGGCTTGAGGGAGTGGGAGATGTGTGAGTCAGGATGGAAACGAAACTCACAGAGCCGGGGGACCCCTCTGGAACCCCGCTGCGGCTCCCTCTTTATGGGTGTGAGGCTTGAGAATTCACCCTCCAGCCACTAGAGGGCGCCCAGCTCCAGGGCCTGGGGCAGGAAAGTTCTACGGCCTCAGTGTCCCCAAAGAGAAACAGACACAATGTTGATCTAAAATACCTTCACAGCTCAGAGACAACGCGGTGGGGAGGGCGCAGGGCTTGCAAAATGCGGATGACCCGGGTTTGATCCCAGGCATCCCATAGGGTCCCCAGAACCTGCCAAGAGTGATTCCTGAGTGCAAGAGCCCTGAGCATCACCGGGTGTGACCCAAAAGCAACCCAAAGTAAGGGGGTTCCTCAAATCCCACAGACAGTTCAGGTCCCATATACACTTCTAAGACATTTCAGGGAGGGTCCGGCTACCCGCCCCACTGTGTGCGCGGTACGTTCTGGTACCACCAGCCCAGCAATGACTCTCCTCCTAGATTTAAGATCAGAAGACACAGACCCCCCACAGGACCCGGGGTGGCATGGGGACTCTCTGTTTTCGGCGGTTGTCTGCGAGGAAGACAATGTGACTGGGGGACACAGAAACCCCCGTTCCGCAGCTACTTGCTAGAGCCACCGGGAGGACAGGAGGGTAGTGCCCCTCACAATCCCATTCAATAAATGTCAGGGAGATCTGGCCAGCCCCAGGGGAGGTTGTGAACTGGCCTGGCATCAAAGTGGACCCTGAGACCAGCCTGGGCACGTCTGAGGGCTGCAGGGCCATTAGGAGTCACAGGGTGGAGCCGTCCCGCTGTCCCCAACATCCACACAGGCCTGGCCCATGGTCCTTGGGGTGTCCAGGAGGAGGGTCTCTGGGTCTGGACTGGCTTCTGGGGACAATAGTCGAGGGCCGGGTGATCCCGAGGACTCCTGGTTTGACATTCCCTCTTTTCCCTCTTCCTCCCCTTCCTCCTCCTCCTCCTCCTCTTCGGCCTCCTCCAGAGTCAACTCAAACTGGAACCTGTCGGGGCCCCCGTGCTCAGGGCTGCTGGTGTCCATGGGGCTGCGGGGGATCTTGCTCTGGTACCACTCGCGGTTGTCTTCCAGCATGTCCAGCAGGTCCTGGGCATCTGGGTGGACCAGATCAGCCCACGTCTCCCACAGGGGGTGAGCGATGTAGTCGATGAAACCCACCTTGGGGAGTAATGAGGTGAGGGGGGTGTGAACCCCCGTAACCAACACATGGCCCAGCCTCCAGGCCTCTGCCTGCGTTGTTCCTTCTAACTGTGAATGCCTCCCCACCTTTCAGACCCCTCCTCAAAAAACCCTTTCCTGGACTAGAGAGATAGAACACCAAGGAGAGGGTTTGCCTTGCATGTGGCCAATTCGGGTTCAATCCCAGGCTTCCCATAGGGTGTCCTCTGAGTATCGCCAGGAATAATTCCTGGGCTCAGAGTCAGGAGTAACCCCTGAGCATCGCTGGGTGTGGCCCCCAAACAAATAAAAAACCCTTTCTAAAAGTCTGCCGTTTAGGGACGGCGACCCCTGCCTCCCAGGTCCTTTCCTTTATTCCAGCCCTGACCTCTCAGGGCTGCGGGCACCTGGGCATGGTCCCCAGAACAGCTGGGGCAGCTGGTGTTCCCTACAGTCCGGAGACTGTGGGGGGGACCTGACTCCCCGCCGCCCTGCACAGGCCTCGCCTCCACTGCCCACCTGGGCTTCTGACCTGTTGGCACCCACCCCTTCCCCCAGCCCCACCGCCAGACCTGAGATTTCTCCACCGAGGCGCTGTGTTTGTCGCACATGGGGCTGACGTCCAGCCCCGCGTCGCGCTCGCGGTCGCCCTGCTGGAAGAACTCAGCCATGATGCGCTCTGTCCACTGGCGGTACAGCTCCAGCGGCTTCGTGGGGTTGCTGAGGTCGGCGCAGTGCACCAGGCTCTGCAAGACCTGCGGAGAAGCGACTCATGGGGGCGGGAGGCCCCGCCCAGGCTTGGCAGCCCCCAGACGGCCACAAGGATGCAGAGGAGGGCGGATCCATCCTGGCACCCGGGCTTACCCCAGCCTTGAAGGACTACACCTAGCCCTCACGTACAGGAGGTGGGATTGGGTGAAGCCCCACCCCATGGGCGGGTTCTGGCAAGGTCACGCCCGCGAGCACGAGGCTATCAGGTGAGTAGAGGTGGTGGCTCCGCCCCAAGTAGAGGTGGAGTCAGGCGAGGCCCCGTCCCAGACGTGCAGAAGGTGAGCTCCTGCGAGGCCTCGCCCTGTGCACGCACTAGGCAGGATTAGGGGGGCCCGCCCATATGCTCACGGGGCGTGGTTGCATCAACCCCGCCTTGACCGGTCCTGGGCGCAGAGGGTTGGGGGTCAGGCAAGGCCCTGCCGCCTCTCACCTGGATACGGTCTGAGTAGTGGTCTAGCATCAGCACCCCCAGGCTCGTCACCTTCTTAGTCTCCACCATGGTCTTGAGGTCGGCCAGGAGATTCATGTGCTTGGACATGTCAGTGGCCAGCACCTGGGGAGGAGCAAGAGAGGACCTGAAGAAAACCCTGGCGAGCCACAAGGACCCGCCCTCGGCAGCTCCCTGTGCTCTGAAGTGGCTGGGACTGGCCAGGTTCTTGGTCTGCCCCCCCTGTGAGGCAGGCGGGCTGCGGGGTGGTGGCCTGCTGCCCACCTCACACGCATGAGACCTTGGTTTGAACCCCTGCACCACAGAGCAGATAGACCCAGGTAAACAGCACTGAGGAATCGCTTCCAAGTCTCAGCACTTCTCCCCAGACCTCTCTCCCTGAGGGGCGCTCCCCTACATGCCCAAGCCCGAAGGCCCAACTCCTCAGAACCCTCACTTTGTTCCCCAGGCTGGGTCTCCCCTGCGCCATCCTCGCCACTGTTCCCCGTGCAGGACACTTATCCAGCTCAGGGAACCCGTCTCGACTGCCCTCAGGCCCGTCCCTGCCCACCTCCACCCCTGGGACTGCAACTCCGAGTACAGTGACCCCCGTCTTGGTCATGGCCACCAGGGAACATGACAGGTCCCTGAGAAAGCTTGTCAGTGGGATGGAAGAGGTGGAGACCTCAATACTGATGTGTGCCCCCTGTCCACGGTGCCTCACCATATCGATGACCATCCTGCGCAGAGTCAGCCGCTGCTTGGTGCTGAGGTTCTGGAAAATGTCACAGTTCTCTCCCTGAAGGAGCTTGAAGCCCACGGCCAGGTGGTGGTTCTCCAGCACCGACGAATCATTATACATGAGTGCCAGCTCTGAGTCTGGGGCCAGGGTTCAGGAAGAAACACTGAAGAGTCTCCAGATCCACTGCCCCCAACCAAACTCCCCAAAGTGGGTTTTATGTATCCTTGGCAAACTCCTATTCATACACTGGAGCCCCAGCCCGAATACCCTTTCCTTCAGGAAGTTCTCCTGGAAGACCTGACTTCTCTTCTCTGGTCCAGCCCTGACTTGTACGGGGCTGGGTGGGGGACAACTGTGCTTATTGACTCTAAGAGGGGGAGCAGAGCACGTGGCACACACCAAGCACTGCCTCAAGGCGTGTTCCTTGGAGTCAAGTTGGCTTCTTGAACCGGGGTGGCCAGTTCATCAGGGGTATGCCGGAAGTGCCACTCCCGACTCCCAGGTGAGCCTCCTCGGGTCCATCACTGATGGAGCACCCAGTGTGAACCCAGAGCCCCCAAAGGAGGAATGACTGTGGGCGCCAAAGCAGAGCACGGCCCCCGCCTCCAGAGAGCCCTCATCCCACTCACTGGTGTTAATGAGAAACTGGTTGGAGACCCCGGGGTGGTCCACGTCGTGGATGGCACTGGCGAAGATGGCGGCCATTATCTCCAGGTCTGTGAACACGGCCTGCGGGGCACACGACAGGTGAGGCTGCTCGCCCACACCGTGGCGCCCATGCCTGCCTGGCTGCCCGGGACTCCTACCTCCAGGGCCGGTGTGGCCAGCAGGACATGTGCGGACTGGGCCACGTCAGCCGCATGCGTACTGTTGTGGTAGGCCACGTCCTGGCGGTAGTGACTCTCCAGGGTTAGCAAGTAGGTCACCAGTGTGTCGGGGGGGATCTGGAACGTCTTCAGCAGGTCCCTGCCCTGCTCCAGTCCAGGCCGTCAGGGCCACGCCCTGCTCCGACTCCCCCTGCGCTCCCCTCCTGTTCGCTGTCTGGGAGTATCCCCAGTGCCCCCTCCTCTGTCGGTCCCTCCAGCCTCCCCATCCCCCTGGGTCCCTTTGGGGGTGGTCCCAGGGTGGAGGTTTGGAGAGAATGAATGGGTCAACTCAGCCAACTCCCTGAGCCAATGAGTCACTGGGAAGTGACAGGGAATTCAAGGAACATGTGTCCCTGAGGCTGAGGGCAGGAAGAGGAACCCCAAAGTTATTGGAAGGCAGGTTGAGGAGGTACCTGGAAGATGCTGAAAATGACAGCCGTGAGGGGCCGGCCCCCACTCAGCTCCGCCACCTTGAACACATCCAGCCCCCACTTGTGGACGCCTTCCAGCACCTACAGGCAGGTGAGGAACTGTTGGCAGCACCTCCTGCCCCCCAGGACTTGAGCCTCAGCACCCTCCTGGCCAACCCCACTGAGGCGCTGAACCCCTCACACATCACAGAATCCTGCGGGGGTGACCCACCTTTGCCAACTGCTCCTCCTGGTCAGTCTGGACCCCAAAGCGTGGCACAGCAGCTGCAGAGAAGCTGGCCTGGGGCGGGGATCGACGCAGGACACTGATCTGGGACATGGGTCTAGGGGCCTCTGCTTGGGCCACCAGGGGCAAGTCCATCTCAGTCTGCTGGTCTGTAGGTAGGCACAGAAGCTGATTCCTGTGCTGGGATCATCCCCGCCCAGCCTCAAGATGAATGGGTTTCCTTCCTCCATGAGTCAAAGAGCACTTAGAATAGAGTCCCTGTTCAGGGGACTGGTCCCAGTGACTGCTGCAGGTACACAGAAGCGCTTGGCACTGAGGATCAACCCAATAACCTTTCCATCCCTCAAATGAAGACCCATCTGTCTGATTCTTTGCATCACTTCCTTGGTGAGCTCTTATTCATCCTTCAAAACCCTAGCATTAATGCCCCCTTCCTCCCAGCATTTACTCTTGTTCTCCCCTCTCATCCAGCCCTGACTCCAGAGGGTCTGGGGTGCCTGTGTCTGTGCTCTCTCCCAATACAGTTGGGGCTTCTCTCTCTCCCTCTTTCTGCCTCTCAGTGGTGTCCAGGCAGTGACCCCCACCCCTGCTCACCCAGGAAGGTCCGGGCTATGTACTCCGACACCTGGTTCCCGGAGCGGCTGGTTTCCGACAGGTGTGTCAACTCTCGGCTCAGCATCCGCTTGAACTGTGGGGATGGGGGTTGGGGTGCCAGGGCTGTGCTAGGGTGGGGCGGCGCGGCAGGGCACTGGGCTGCTGTGGTCCCTCACCTTGTTGGAGGCCATCTCGCCCACCGAGTGCTGTGTCTGCAGGCTCTCAAGCTGCTCCAGGCACCAGTCCAGCTCCTCTAGAGTCTCCCATGCCAGCTTGTGACCAGGCTCCTCTGAGAGTGGTGAGTCAGGACGCTGCCCCTCCCGCCCAGAAGGTCCCCCCGCTTCCGGCAGGGCCACTGAAGCGCCCAAGATCTGAGCCCCAGAACTGTCCCGAAGGGGCTGTGTGACCACGTGCAGATCGCTGTGCCTCTCTGAGCCTCGGCTATCCTCCGCTCCTTTTGTGCGGGGTAAAATCGCCATCAGATTAGCCGAAGGGCACACCCAGAGGTAAGTCTAGCCCAGAAGCTCACTGTGGAGGGGTGCTCACCTGGAGGTGCGGGAGGCTGAGCTGTAGTCAAGGGGTTCCCCACGGATGCCTGCCTGGGGTACAGTGGACAAAGAGATGGCCATGCCCTCAGCCCTCCAGGTTGCTCTCACCCAGGCCACCCACCTGTGCCAGCAACACCTGCGATGGCCCCATCCTGCCAGGCCCCGCCCCAACAAAGCCCCTCCGACAAAGCCCCGCCCACCACTAGACACCGCCCTCTAGTGTAGGCCCCGCCCCACCGTGTAGGCCCCGCCCCCACCGTGTAGGCCCCGCCCCTCCCTGCCACCACGCTTACCTGGCTGCCCCTCTGCCTGGCAGGTGGGCCAGGGCAGTCACATTGCTCCGAACAGTCCGCAGACTGGCCAGGACCTAACAGCAGGGTGATGGTCAGCATGGGGAATGGTCGGCCATCTGGGAGGGTGTGGGGATCAGGGAGAGAGGCAGCTGGACTCCCACCTGGGCGAAGGGTGTCACGATCATGTCTTCTCCATGACTGCGGAGAGCAGAAGTGGCAGGAGGGCTGTCAGGAGGCGTCCGGCACGGTCTATGCTCCAGCTTCTACCCGCCCTGCAGAACCCTCCATCTACATCGCCCTGTCCACTGCCTGAAGGCCACAGCAGCCCCTCCTACTGGCCACACACATTATCCCTGCCTCCTAAAGGAGGGACTCAGTCCCTGGGGTTAGGACTCACAGGTCACTGGCCACGGAGGAATTCCTGGACATGGCCTTGGGAGAGAGCTCGAAGTCGCTGTCTGATCGGTAGAGGAAGGATTCCCGCCGTTGGCAGTGCTGACTCGGAGCTTGAGCTGCGCGACCCAAGCCAGGGCCCACCTGGGGGTCGAGTGAGCTTCTTCCGCATGAAAATCCATTTTCCAGGTCAAAGCTGAAGGCAGAGGAGGCACAGTGAGAGCTGAGAGTTCTGGGTCACCTGTGAGCTCCTGCAGACCTGAGCCCTTTCCAGGTTAGGGACATCTGACATGTCCTCCAAACAGGGAGGTCTCAGGCTTCCTCTGAGGGCTGTGTACACGCAAAGGGGAAAACGAGGTCCAGGAGACCAGGCCAAAGGCACTCTGGCTCCGCCAGCCCATCCCAGATTCTGTTGGGTCCTTACTATGTGCTCTCTACCTCTGGGCCTTTGCACAAGCTCTATCCCCACAAGGAGGGCCTTACTCCCCACTGTGAGTGCCCCTGCTCTCTTTGATCCCCCTTTCAGCACTTCAGCTGCTCCTTCCCTCTGATCACACCAGGAGTCGGGAGGGGAGGGCGATCTCTGTCCCTTTCTCTGGGATTAGGAGATAAGGGGGGGCAGGGCCGATGGGACAGCGGGGAGGGCATTTGCCTTGCATGTCGTCATTCGGGTTTGATCCCCAGCATCCCATAGGGTCCCCTGAGCATCACCAGGAGTGATTCCTGAGTGCAGAGCCAGGAGTGACCCCTGAAAATCGCCAGTTGTGGCAACCAAACAAAGAAAGACTGGGAAGGGATGCGGACCAGGATGGAGCAATGAGGAAGAGGGGAGGTCCCTCGGACTTTTGAAAAAGGAGGTGCAGTCAGGAGGGGCAGACATCGGGAGGCACTGGCAGTTGCCCAGGGCTCGGGGACCTCGCTAAAGGCCACTGTCCACCTGGGTCACCGTCAGGTACCCTCAACCCCGTGCTGCAGCTCAGGCCGAGCTGGGTGAGGGACAGGGCGAGATTGCTTCCAGGTCGGCTGGACTCATTCGGCTCGTTCAGACTGGGCGGCGGCGCTCAAACGCTTCAGATCCCACGGGGTGGATGCCCAAGGTTAGGCCCCGTAGGATCCGGCAGGCGCACGAGGGTGGGGCCGAGAGGCCCCTCCCCGTGGCGTCATTGGGGCGTGGTCTCTCTGGCCCCGCCCCGCGGGCTTGCTGCGGCTGGGACGCCCCCCTCCCCAACCCTCCTGAGTAGGGGGTGTCAGGGACAATACCCCACCTCCCCACCCCCTCTCCTGCCTCTCCCGCCAGGTTCTGGGGAGGCGCACGCGCGTGCGTGCGGGGAAACTGAGGCCGACGGCCCGCGCTCCGTGTTCCACAGCCCCTGCAGCTGTTTTTCTTTCTGCGCTAAACTTAGCCGCGAGCCGCCGGGTCAGGCCGCTCCATGACGCGGGCGGCGCGGGGCGAGGGCGCCCGGGCTGTGGGAACCGCGTGCCTGGACGTCCGAGGCACGGGGAAACTGAGGCAGGCTCCGCGGCAACCCGGGGCTCAGGCTCTGGAGCTCTGGCTACGCTGGGACCCGGGAGCCCGTCCCCGGCAGGGCTGGCAAGGTGCCACGGAGGACCGGGGTCACGGCTGACCCTCCCCCTCCCCGCGGTCACTGTCTGGTCACACGACCGGGAGTCCGGCGACCGCCAGCGACCGAGGCGCTGACCCAGGCACGGCCACGAGCCACCTGGGTCCCCAGCCTCGCCCCTCTGCTCTCCCCCAAAGCCAGCATTTCCCTACGGGGCTGGGGAACCCTCCACGGGATCTTGGAACTCGGGAACTCTCGGGTCTGGGGGCCACCGGATGTGCCCCCTTTTACCATCAAAGCCGACATCCGAGGCACCCCTTGAGCCAGGACCTCGGCAGGGCTCGGTGACAAGCCCCCCAAGGGCCATCTGGTTGCTGGACACGAGGAACCGCCGTGCCTCTCCCCCCCCCCCCACCCTGACTGGGCAGGAGGAGCCGCGCTCGGTGTCCCTGCTGCAGGGGGGCACCGGCGCGATCCCCCCGGAAGGGTCGCCCCGCGCCCCGTCGGGACCCCCGTCCCCAGCCCCACCTCACCACAGCGGATGGGCCACGGTGAAGCGCCGCTGCAGGCGAATGCTCTGGTTCACCAGGAGTTTCCTGAAGAGCCCGGGGGAGCCGCGCGGGGACCCCCGGGGGGAGCTGGGGCCCGTGGGCGCGGGGGGGCCCCTGCATGACCCCGACTCCGGGAGGCGCAAGGCTGGTGGGGGCCGGGCGGGGCTGCGCGGGGCCTTTTCAGCTTGGCCTGTGGGGGCGGGGCCGGCCCGGGCTGGGGGGGAGGGGAGGCGCCCCACGGCCGCCCAGCTGCTCCCTCCACCCCGGTCCCCGTGGGGAAACTGAGGCAAGGCGCTGTCAGGCCAACCTGATTCCTGCTCTGGGTGGGCATCGCCGCCCCGCTCCCTCCCTATGCCCCCCCACCCCCGCCCTCTGCGGACACCCCTGAGGGCAGCCCATCAGCTCCGCGGGGGTGGGGGCAGCCGTGAGTGAGTCAGAGGATGGTTGTCGGAAGAGGGTCAGTGGGCACAGTGCCCAGCCGGGACCCCACCACGGACAGCAGCTGACGGCTTCAAAGTGGGAAACTGAGGTGGGAAAAGGCAGCGGCGCCGCTGCCCAGCCTCCAGGTCCCTGCCTGACCACCCGCGGCTGGCCGCCGTGTCAGTGACATTCCCCAGGCCCCCTCGGCCCTGTCTCCACCCCACAAACATCCGCACCCCTTCCGCCCTGCACAGCGTCAGCCCCCTCTCCTGGCCCCACAGTGTGAGGCGGGGTGGGGGGACCTAGGGCTGTGTTCCAGTGTCCTGCAGTGATGATGGTGGCCTGCTGCTTCCGCAGAAAAGGCAGAAATCAAAAACAACCCAGACTCAGCCAAGGAAGGGCTGGGAGTCCTTCGCGGGGGGTAAATCAAGAGGGGCCCCCTCCAAGAGCCCTGTCACCCCTGGTCTTGCCTGAGGCACACTGGGGAGGACCCTAGGAATATTCCCGCCCCGCCCCCCCCCTTCCCGGTAATCATCAGGGTGAGTTCCAGTGACTATGGTGTTTGGGGTCACAGTAGTCGGGGTTCAGTGGGAGGCCTATGGCCTGCCAAGGAACAGTGTGTCCAGTGGGTCTTGGGGGTCTGTGGGGGACCCCAAGGCACCTGCTGGGAACCAATGTTGACTGTTCCGGAGACAGAAATATCCTGGGTGGCTGTGGAGAGGACCTAATTATAGTCAGTCCCAAGGGGCAGCCTCAGGGCTCAGGGCCACCAGCACCCGGGCCCAGGAGCCCTGACGGGACCCCCCCCACCCCCAAGGAGGCTGAGTCAGAGGGGCCAGGGGCTGCGCTGGGGAGGAACTCCAGCCTGTCTGCACGTGACACCCCGATGGGCTCCCTGCAAGCCCAGCAGCCAAGTGTCTGGCCCAGCCCTGCCGTGTGCCTTATAACTGTGCAATGGCCACACGATGTGAGGGTGAGGTCACGGTCCCTGAGAGAACTGGGGTTCCTCTGCACACCCACACAGGCGCCTTCTGAGGGGCGGGTGCGACCTCCAGGTTTCCCACCAACTCCACCCAGCACCAAGTGCGATTCTCATTTTGCGGGTGGGGAAACTGAGGTACACGAGGCTTGTGCTCCTCCTCAAATTGTCGCACGGTGGGGTCAGGTCCACCCACACCCGCCGGAGGAGAAGAGTCCACACTCACCTCCAGGGTGTGATATTAAGGCTTTGTTGATTGGTTCATATTTTTCCCTGCACTTGACCGTGCTTAGGGCTTACTCCTGGCTCTGCACGCGGGAATTAATCCCAGCAGTGCCTGGGATCCTTTGGGTGCCGGGGGATGGTGCTGAGTTGTCACTCGGGTCCCCTGCACCACAGTTCAAGCAGCTTAAACCCTGGAAAGGCAGAGAGAGAAGGAGACAGAGACAGAGACAGAGACAGAGACAGACAGAGAGGAGAGGGGAGAGAAAGACTGGGCATTTGAAGTGTGGCCCGAATAGCCCTCCAGAAGGGGCCCGAGCTGAAGGAGTGCTCCCCCCTGACTCTGGAGTGCTCTATGACATACCCAGCCCCCCGCCCCCCCAACGCCGCCACGGCTGCCCCTCACCGGCCTTCCTGGGAAGCATTTTCTCTCCTTTGCCGCCAGGGGGCGCGCGCTGCCCGACGGTGGGGGCTGTTGCGCCTGTTTACTGGGACGCCTACAGTGAGACCTGGAGGGTCCCGAGTGCTCGGAAGGCGTTTGCCTTGCACGTAGCTGACCCGGGTTTGATCCCTAGGGCCCTAAGGGTGCCGCCGACTGGCCTCTCCAGCACCTCCAGGAGTGAGCCCTGAGCATCGCCGGGTGTGGCCTTCAGCAACAGCACAGAAAGAGCCTGAGAGGCAGGATGCCTGACCCACACCCCGCAGAGAGAAAAATGGTGGGTTCCCTCCTGGTTAGATCCCAGCCGCCTTGCTTCCCTCCCTCCCGCAGCTCCCCACCGCCCTCATGCCCTCCTCCGGGCTCACTCCAGCCTCCTCCGCCCCCTTCCCTGTTGCTCCTCAGAACAGCCACGCTGAATCCACTCCACGTTTACCCCTTGCCCAGAAGTTCTTCTTTCTGTTGACTCATCTGCTCTGGAACATCATCTCCTCCAGGAAACCCTCCCTGACCAACCAAGTCAGGTCAATCATCTCAGAGCCCTGTCACGTGTAGTTTTATGATCCATGTGAGGCGCATCTGATGTGCATGTCTGCCTACTTCACCAGTCCTGGAGAGTAAATGCCTGCTCCAGCTGTGTGCTCAGGGCTCACCACTCAGTGGGTGCTCAGAAAAGACCCGGGGGATGTAGGGAGCCTCCCCTCATGCCCGACAGCCACCCCGACCTGTGTCCGGTGCCCCTAATGCCTGATGCTATTGAGTTTGAGGCTTTGTATATTCCATTCCTTCTGATCAATACTCTGTTCCCTGTACCCACTGCTGTTCAACCTCAGTCAGAGCTGAGCTGACCTTTTAGCCCTTCCTCTCTTAAGGTACCACTCTCCACCCTGGAATCTCTGCCCAGTTGGTTGGAATCGCTGCGACTGGGAGCCCATGGCCGTCCTTGCCCAGTATAGGATGTGGTACTCAATAGGTACTCAATAAATGCTCACTGAACAAGACTGTCGTGGGCTAGAGAGCACCCCACGCTGGGAGACATATACCAGCACACAACATTTGAGACAGAATTGCTCCGTGCTCCTGCCCCATGACATAGACTCAGGGAAGCCCCTGCTTGGGAGCTGGTGGGTGGGCCTGGCCCGGCTTCTCGGAGTGCCCAGCCACTCTGGCCCCAGCACATACCTGTGAGGGTGCCCACACAAGCCCACACATGCTACTCACATGCTCAAGGGCCTCACCCTCCACTCCAGCTTTCCAGAGCCACCTGGGGCCAAACCTAGTCCCTGCTTACTCATTCTTAAATATGGAAAATTGTGAGTCACCGGAAAGCGGAAGGGGGGAGGGGGTCACCTGGGTCACCTGGGCACAAGTCCAGCCAGCCTGCTGCCCCGATGCGGTCCTGGGTTGATGGAAGAAGCCAGGACCTCATCATGGGACGCACCCGGCCTCCTCGAGATCAGCCTGCCTCGGATGCTGCTCCAGTAGTTCCTGGGGGGCTCCTGAACCCCTCCTTTGCCCTGTGGGCCTGGAGGGCCAGCTGGGACCATCACCCCCTGGGGCTGGTGCTCCCCAGAGAGACAGGAGGGAAAGCAGCATCACCTCACCGCTTGCCTTCTACCTGGGACTCAGGCAGGCCGCCAGGAGATGGGGTCAGGTGTGTCCCGCGTGCCCCTCCCCGATCCCCCCAAAACTCTCCACTCTGACCTGCTCACGCCCGCATCCAGATTCTTGCAGAGGTCTGGAGGATCCCACAATACCTGCAGACAGGTAGGGCTGACCCCACCTTCCTCCAGCTCTGACCAGCCCAAGATCCTGTGCAAGCAACCGCCCCCCAGAAACGCCCCCACTCCACAGAAGCCAGACCCCGCCCCACTCCTGTCAGGCCTCATCCCATCAGGCCCCGCTCCATCCCACCAGGCCTCACCCAACTGGGAAAGCCCCGCCCACCAGTTCAGCCCCGCCCATCACGCCAGGCCCCGCCCCGTCGTGCCAGGCCCCACCCACCCTCCCGGCCCCATATGCCTTCTCCAGCCCGGCTCCCATGCACCTCCAGGCCTGCTCTCAGCGGCTGATGGGCTTTTGGGGATCCCAATGGAAACAATGCTGGATGCAGATGGGGCGCCAGGGCTGCCGCCACAGGGGCGGCGAGGCTCGGGTTGTGCCTGGGAGGCTGCAAGCGCCCACTCCTTGCACTCTACAGCTCCCCCTGCACCAGAGAAGGGAAGCCCACGGATCTGCCCCAGCTGGAGCCAAGGAACCCCGCCCCAGGTCTGCGGGTGGAAGCCACAGCGAGGAGCTGTCCACGTGGAGGTGCTGAAGGGCCCTGAGGGGGACTCCAGTGGGAGCTGCAGAAAGGGCCTGGGGGGCCCTCCAGAGATCCCAAAGGCTGCCCCCTCTAGTGCTGAATGAAAGAGGGTGAAGATAGGAGCTTGCAGTGTAAAGAACGGAAATAGTCCCGCAGGTGCTGCTGAAGCCCCCAATTCCCCCCATCCCCCACCCCCACCCCCACCCCTCGCTTCCTGCCATGGTGCAGTTCCTTCTCCCAGAACTTGAAAATGCAGCCTGAAGACAGGTCTGGAGAGTCTCCAGTAGGAGCACTGTCCACACAGGAGGTGCTGAAGGGCCTCTGGCCCTCCCCAGTGCTAGCGTCAAGGATCCCCTGCGGGACATGGACCAGGGCACCTCCCAGGTCCCCGCCTCAGGAGGGCAGGCTCTCCAGCCAAGCCCAAAGAGGGCAGCAGGGTGGGTGCAGGCAGGGAGGGTGGGATACGGCTGTCCAACACAGACACTGCAGGAAGAGTCTCATGCAGTCTGGCCATGCACCCAGCCCCAGTTCCACACCTGGAGCCTCGGGTCGGCCCCTGCGCTCCCCTCTGGACATCCAGGCAGTGTAACCTCAGGGAAGAGGATGGGCGGGCAGGACTGGCCATGTGGGACCTCTGGCTGACCTGAGGGCAGGAGATGCAGTGATTCATTATTGTTATTGTTTTCTGGCCATACTTGGAGGGTGCTCAGGACTTACTCCTGACTCTGCCTTCAGGATCACTCCTGGAGGGGCTCAGAGGCCCTTGGGGTGCTGGGAATTGAACCCCGGGCAGCCTCATGTAAGACCCACGCCCTTCCCACTGCCCAATCTCTCCCATCCAAGACCCCTCCGAGCTCAGAAAACTCACAGGGACATTGGCCATGTGGGGCATGGGGGATGCAGGGGCCAGACTCACTCGGAGGTGGTCAAACCGCAGCCTCCCAGAAGGGACAGCAGACGACAGCAGGGTCGGGGGTGAGGGACCCAGGGCTTACAACCTTCGCTCCTAGCACTGATCTCTGGGGCGTAAATATGGTGTTCCTGTTTCTTGGCATCCGTGAGATCAAACATGAAAAATCACAAGTTCAGGGCTGGAGCAATAGCACAGCAGGAGAGCACTGGTCTTGCACAAATGGCTGACCTGAGTCCAATCCTGGCATCCCATAGGGTCCCGTGAGCACCACAAGTAGTGACCCCTTAGTGCAGAGCCAGGAGTCAGCCCTGAACACCCATTCCCCCCGAAAAAAAAAAAAACCTCAAAGTCTAGACTGCACAGATCGTTCCATGAACACCTCAGGGTTCAGCTCAAAGCCACGAAGACACCCCTGGCTCCTCTGAACCCCCACCCATTTGTGGGCACCCCCCCTAGAGTTCCCTTCAAGCCTACAGCCACATGGATCTGTATTTAGCACCTCAGATGCCTATGTTCTGGAGTATGAGGCTTTGCACATTCTGTTCTTCCTACTTGGCACACCTTTCCCTGCAGCCCCCCCCCCACACACACACACCTACATGCCTGCTTCTCACTCTTAAAGCCGAGCTCAGAGACATGCTTCTAAGGAAACCTTCCTTTCCTCTCTGGCGGTCACCGTGCACCCTCCCAGGCCCCTGATCTCTCCCGGCTGCTGTGAGTCTGTTCCCACCTCTGCTCACCTGTGGCTAGCGCCCAGTGTCATGTCCCCCGAGTGCAGTTTGTGCTCAATAAACGCTGGAAATGGGCCAGAGAGATGCACAGCTGGGAGCACTCTGGCCTTGCCGCAGCTGCTCGGGTGGATGCCGGCACCCCATGTGGTTCCCTGAACCCCACTAGGAGTGATCCCTGAGCACTTCTGGGTGTGACCCAAACAAACAAGCAAAAAGAGGCTTCTATGCAGACTCTCCGCTCCCCTCCCCTGGTGCCCCATCCCCTCACCTGCCCGAGGCTGGCCCCTGGCTGGGCTCTGCCCCACGGGTCTCGATGGTGAATACCACACGGGCGCTGGCTTCTGCGTCTGCTCCGGGGGACCCGAGGCGGCTGGACAGGGGAGGCAGCAGCGGGGTCCCCGAGAAGCGTCTCCGGATGATCCTGGTGCTTTGGGGGCTCACGGGCGCTGAGGCGGAATCCGTGAGCTCCCGCACCTGTGGGGAACCCAGGGCAGGTGGTGAACATGGGACCTCAAAACAGCTGTCCCCCGGGCCCCCACCGGCTTCCTGCACTGGCCCAAAGAAACACACTTGGGGTCTCTTCAGTGCCCCTCCCAGCCTCAGTTTCCTTCAAAGGGCAGTGGGAGGTGGCCAAAGCTCTGGGTGGCCCAGAGCACTAGGCCCGAGCAGGAGATTGAAAGGCACAGGCCCACAGCAGCCTGAACACCATCGTCCACCCTGCCCTGGGCAGCGAGGCCAAAGTCCTACTTGGATGCTCGCAGACACGCAGCCCATTGGACCCTGCATGACACACACAGCCCTGACGGTGACCCTGAGTCGTGGTTTTACCTATTTGGGGGGAGGCAGTGCTCAGGGGTTACTCCTGAGGAATGGCCTCCGGAATGACTTCTGGCGGTGCTTGGGGGACAGTATGGGATTCCAGGAACCAGACCCAGGTCAGCCATGTGCAAGACAAATGCCCTCCGTGCTCTCCTCTTGCTCCGGCGCCTGTCAGGGTTCTATTCACCCTCTTGGCCTCTCCTGCTTCCTGTCGTGATTCCCCAGAGGTCTCAGTGCTGACTGCCAGCTCTGCCCCAAGAGTTACTCCTGGCAGGGCTTGGGGGACCCTACAGGGTGTTGGGGCTTGAACCCAGGTCGGCTGCATGCAAGGCAAGTGCCCCTGCAGACATCACTTCTGCTCTGGGGACCTTGCTGCGTCCACTCGCCTGGTTCTCACAGTGGAATCTGTCATTGTCAGCCCCTGGGGACAGACGAGGTAGGCTGCGGATGTCCCCACACTTCTCAGGGCTCACTCCCAGCATAGCTTAGGGACCCTACGTGGTGGTGGGGATCAAAGTCACATCGGCCATGGGCAAGGCAGTGACCAATAGCTGCACTGTCTCTTGGTCTCTGATGCTTCAGAAAAGAAATGACCTGGAACCCGAACAGCAGCCCCGGCGTCGGGCAGTGTGATGTGCACAGCTGGCCTGGCCTGTCCCTCGCACCGCCAGGAGGGATCCCTGAGTGCAGTGCCAGAGCACAGCAGCTGGGGAGCTGGGGCCCAGCCGACCCCCAGACAATCCTGTGGGAGTGGAATCCAGACAAATCAAAGAGCCGAGGGACTCCAGCACCTCAGGCCCCTGAGCGTGGCCCAGACTCGGTCCTTGCTGCAGGCTACGTGAGGCCTGCCTGGGCCCCTGAGCTTGCTCGGAGATACCTGCAAAAAGCGCATTTATGGGCCACAGTGACAGCACAGCAAGAAGGGTGCTGGCCTTGAATGCTGCTGACCCGAGTTCGATCCCCCGCATCCCATGGGGTCCCCTGAGCACCGCCAGGAGTGATGCCTGAGTGCCGAGCCAGGAGTCACCCCTGTGGGATGTGACCCCCCCAAAAAAATAAGGGGCTAGAGCAATAGCACAACGAGTAGGGCGTTTGCCTTGCATGTGGCCGACCGGGGTTCGATTTCCAGCACCCCATATGGTCCCCTGAGCACCGCCAGGAGTAATTCCTGAGTGCATGAGCCAGGAGTAACCCCTGTGCATCCCCAGGTGTGACCCAAAAAGCAAAAAAATTAAATAAAGAAAATAAATAAATAACATATATCAAAGACGCTCTGCAGTCAGCCCCAGGGGCCCTCACTCTGCTTCGCGCACACGTAGCTGAGCCCTGGCCTACACCAGTCTGGGGTGGGTGGTCCCTGGGCCTCAATGTTCCTGCCGGGAGTTGAGCTTTCCCGGTGCCACTCACCTCGCTCAGCAGGAAGGGGAGGGCCGTTCCGCTGCGCCTCATGCTTCAGGCCGCTCTGATCCTGGGGAGGTGGGATGGAGTCCCCCAAGCCCCATGAGCCCCACGCGGTGCACACCCTCCCTGTGGGGCCTCGCCGCAGCTTCCAGACCTCTGCAGGCCCACACGGACTCAGTGAAGTGCAGCAAGGGGCCCACCCCACCTCGAGTCCCCCAAACTCATACGACCTGCACGAGATCTGACACCTGCTGCCGCCACGCATCCAGCTGAGTCCTGTGACCTGGGGTGTCAGGCAGGAGGACGGGCCGGTCCCCACCCCCCACCCCGTGGGGACCTTAACTATCTCTCTGCCAGCCTGACTGGCCAGGTCATACCTTCCTGCTCGGCCAGGAGTGGCCAGGAGGAGCGAGTGGGAGTGGAGCTGAGGCTGTCCTGGGGAGCTCTGGATGTGGCCTGGAGGGTGGGGCAACGGGGGTCTGTTTTATTGCCTCTGTGTTCAGCCCCCCTCAGAGTCAAGCACACAGAGACCATGCATCACCAGGTGGGCACAGGGCCAGGTGCTGGACAGTGATTTCTGCAGCTCAAGTTTCTGGGATACCAGACGCTTGAGGGACTTAGGGGCCAGAAGGGCTCCCGAGCGCCTGCAGGCTCGGGAGGGTAAAGCTGGGCGGTGCGGGCCTGCCCCAGGCCCATCTAAGACCCTCTACAGGTGGACGGACCCCAAAGAAGGCGGGGGTGTGGCCAGGACGATGGGCGTGACCTCGCTCAGGGGCGTGGTCCGGGGAGGTGGGCGTGGTTAAGGAGGGATGGTGGTGTGGGGGGGACCGGGGAACTGCGGGCAGTGGCCAAGGCGAGGCTAGTGGAAGGGGCCCTGGAGCCTCTCCTCAGAGTTAATGTTTCACCCGAACTGCCGCCTGCCCGGGAGGCCCCGCCGTCCTCTCTGCCCCAGAGAACCATCAGAGCATGACCATCGCTGGCTCAGACTCACCGTATAAAACAGGTGACTTTTTGTGTCCCTCTAAGGGCAGTTTCCCTCCAGGGTGGACACGGACCCTAAGGGCCACTTTTGTCCACGTCCTGGTCACCACTGGATGTCACTCAAAGAAAAGCTGAGGGTCCCAGGATGCCACAGGACCCGGGTCCCCAAATCTGCTCCTCCCAGACCAGGTGTTTTTTTTGGGGGGGAGCCACATCTGGCGGTGCCCAGGGGTTATTCCTGACTCTGCACTCAGGAATTACTCCTGGCGGTGCTCAGAGGACCATATGGGACCAAACCCAGGTTGCCTGCATGCAAGGCAAATGCCCTCCCCGCTGTGCTAGCGTTCCGGCCCCCAGACCAGGTGTCTGTCCCATCTTCAGAGGCAGAGGTGTCGCCCTACTTCTGCACACCTGGGCAGCGGGGTGCAGCACAGACTCCTGGGAAAGCACCTGCCTCACAGGTATGCAGCCGTGAGCTCCCGCATCAAGCTGCACACAGTGCCCCTTAGGACCACCAGATGTGAGACCACCAGAGCCAGGTGTCTGCAGACCCCTGCCACTGCAACAACACAACAGAACAGCAGGCAGGGCGCTAGCCTTGCGTGTCGCCAACCTGGGGTCTGTCAGCCAAGTGCCATGGGGCTCTCAGAGGTCTACCAGGACTAAGCCCTGAGCACCATCGGGTGTGCCTCACCCCCCAAAAGAACAACAGGGCCCAGAGAGCACGCATAGAGGGGTAACATTCTACCCTGTGACCTCCAAACCCTCTCTGTCCCGCTTCACCCCCAGAGCTCGCTCCAGCTGGGCCCAGGCCCGGAATCATCATTTTGGCACCCAGTCTGCTCTGCCCTGCGTGGCTCTGCCAACCTCTTTCACGTGCGACCTCTTGCCTTCTCTTATTGCTCTTCTCTGGCTCTGTTTTTGCTCTTCCTCCCGGAGATTTGTCATTGCTGACGAACCTGCTTCCCAGCCACACACAGCATTTGAACCAGTGAGCCCGGCTCCGTGGGCCACTCAACGGCCACGACGCGCATGGCTGTCTCCCCCTGGTGGCTCATCCCAGAACTGCACCCTGGAACCCCATCCGCCCTGAAGTACTGAGGCCTGGATGAGGCTCTATCCTGGAGCTTCGAGGTGGAATTGGGGTGGGGGGAGGCTGAAGAGAGAGGACAGACACCCTCTGCCCTAGCATTTTCCCATGGAGGCATCCTGCCTGCATTGGAGTTTTTTGTTTTGTTTTTTTTGGCTTTTAGGGTCACACCTAGTGATGCACAGGGGTTACTCCTGGCTCTACTCAGGAATCACCCCTGGCGGTGCTCAGGGGACCATATGTGATGCTGAGAATCAACCCCGGGTCGGCCGCGTGCAAGGTAAACGCCCTACCCACTGTGCTATCGCTCCAGCCCCTACATTGGAGTTTTTAAGAGCCCAGCGCGGTCACCCTGGGCCAGCAACCTGGAAGCTGAGAGATTCATGCTTCCCAGAGCAGAGAGCAGGGTCATGTGAATCAGCAGCCGGTCCCACCCCAGTGCCAACCACGAGTTGGGAAGCTCAGGGCACCTCCAGCTAGTAAGCCCCCATTTCTCTCCTGCTTCTGCCACATGCCCCACAAATGAACACACGTACCAGGAAGCAGGCTGTGGAAGGCTTTATTTCTCAGACCCAGAGAGCCACGGGGACTCCGTGCCAGCATTCCCCCCCAGCAGGCAGCCAAAAGTTCTAGTACCCCGGCCACTGAGTGTGCGGGGGGCCTTTCCATGTGTTCAGGCCCAGAAGGTTGTTGGAACTGAGGGCCATGCGCGTGGAGTGGCCCCGCCACGTAGCCTGGAGTCTCTGCGCGGCTGTCCGCTGCTGCATCAGCTGCCGGCGGACGTGGAAGCCCTTCCAGGCGGCCTGGATGCGGGTGGCTGCGGCTTCCCGGCTGAGGGGCTTTTTGGGGCTGTAGTCCCTGCCGCGTTGGCCCAGGCCGTGCACCACCCGCGTGGGGGCTGCCTGGCCACACATGTGGCAGGTCCGAGGGCTGGAGCCCACGAGCATCACCACGCTGGGAGCATTTCCCAGTCCGGAGGTCAGCGACTGGCAGAGGTGGCAAATGTTCGGCTGGCACGACTGGAAACAGCGGTGCTCGGACATCCGGGGACTCATGCTGGTGGCCTCAGGCCACGGGGCCGGGGACAAGGCATAAGGGATGCGTCTCTGCCGGCAGGAGAAGCCGCGCCAGGCAGCCTGGATGACCACTGCAGCCCTGGTGAGCCGGGCCAAGTCCCGCCGCACGCAGTAGCCCCGCCAGGCAGCCTGGATGACCGCGGCCCACTGGTGCCACACCTTGATGGTCTTCCGCACCAGGTAGCCTCGGACACCGGCCTGCAGGGTGATCACTGCCTGAATGACGAGCTTTTCCATCACCTGCATCGATGCCAGCTCCCTGGAGCTTCTAGGGTTCGCTGCCGCTGCACTGCCCACGGCCCACGGCCCCACGCCCTGTCCTTGCTCCCACGCGCCACGGGGTGGGACAGCCACTCTACTGGTGCCGGCAGAGTTCCACGCTGAGCCACCGGCCACACTGGGGTCCTCGGCACCCTGGAGTACAGGGGGAGTCAGGTACTTTCCAGCGGTCCCTGTGGGGCCGCAGGCACACCCCAACCCAAGGGGTGAGGACACAAAGCCCTGATGCACCCGCCGAGCCGCCAAGGATGGTACTGAGCGAGCGGTGACAAGTGGGACTGTGGGAGCCACGGCCTCCTGGTGACTGAAGCGACAGGACTTCTTGAGACAAGAGCTAAGGCACTTGCCTGCAACTGTCACAGTGGCCTCAGACCGACATGGCGGCACACGTGGGGTCCTGGGGATGGCCCCAGAACCCCAGGAAACGCTTGGGGTTGCCATCCCAGCCCCAGATCCTAGTGGTAAGTTGGGTGCCACAGAACTGCCGTGGGTCAGCCCCTGGGATGCCAAAACCCCAGATGAATCTACTACCCCACGGGAACGATTATAGGGTTCAACCTGAGCCACGGGTGCATGCTGGAGGCTCGAGTGGGCCTGCGGGGCCCCGGGGGACATGGGCACCTGCTGTAGGACTGAGTGGACCTTGGGTATCACAGGGGCCACACACACCTGCTGAAAGTGAACTTTGGGTGCCACAGGGACAACAGGCACCTGCTGGAGGGCTGAGGGGGCCTTGGGTGCCACGGGGACCACTGGTGTCTGCTGGAGGGCTCGGTGAACTTTGGGTGTCATGGCGGCCATGGGCACCTGCTGAAGGGCGGAGGGGACCTTGGGGGCCACAGGGGCCATTGGTGTCTGCTGGAGGACTGATGAGGCCTCGGGGGCCACGAGGAGCACTGGAGTCTGCTGGAAGGCTCGGTGGGCCTTGGATGTCATGGTGGCCACAGGCACTTGCTGGAAAGCTGAGGGCACCTTGGGGGCCACTGGTGTCTTCTGGAGGGCTGATGGGGCCTCGGGTGCCACAGGAGCCACTGGCGTCTGCTGGAGGGTTGGATGGACTTTGGGTGTCATGGGGGTCACAGGCACCTGCTGACGTTCTGAAGGGACCCTAGGTGCCATGGGGGCCACTGGTGTCTGCTGGAGGGCTGGGTGCACCTTGGGTGTCATGGGGGCCACTGGTGTTTGCTGGAGGACTGGGTGGACCTTGGGGGCCACTGGGGCCACAGGCACCTGCTGGAGGACTGAGGGAGGCTCGGGGGCCACAGGGGCCGCTGGTGTCTGCTTAAGGGCTTGGTGGACCTTGGATGTCATGGGGGCCACTGGTGTCTGCTGGAGGACTGGGTGGACCTTGGGGGCCACTGGGGCCACAGGCACCTGCTGGAGGGCCGAAGGGGCCTTGGATGCCACAGGGGCCACTGGTGTCTGCTGGAGGACTGGGTGGACTTTGGGTGCCACCAGGGCAACAGGCACCTGCTGGGGGGTTGGGGGGGTCCCCGGAGACACGGGGGCCTGCTGGAGGGCTGAGTGGGTTTTGGACGTCATGGGGGCCACAAATGCCTGCCGGAGGGCTGGCGGGGCCTTAGGTCCCACAGGGGCCACTGGTGCCTGCTGGAGGGCTCGGT